GCGGGCAGCAGCGCCGAGCCTGGGGCGGCGGCGGCGGCGGCGGCGGCTGGGGGGGCGGGGCCCCGGGGCCGCCCTGCCCCCCCCCGTGCGGCCTCGCTGCGCCGCCACCGCCGCCGCCGCGGGGGTGCTGGCAGCGCCGCCCGCGCTCTCCTCCCGCCGGGCCGCCGCCGCCGCCGCCGCCGCCCCAGGCTCGGCGCTGCTGCCCGCTCGTCCGTTGCTGTCGCTCGGGCTGCTGCAGCTGATCCTGGGATGCTGCATGGTGGCGCTGAGCTTCGGGGCGCTGTCGCTGAGCAGCTCCCCCCAGGTGAAGAACTCGTGTCCGTTCTGGGCCGGCTCCTCGGTGAGTGCCGCGCGCGCCCCGCTCCCCTGGACACGGCCCTTCGGGGGAGCAGGGGCCTCTGGCGGGTCTCCTCCACGGCCCCTGCATTGCGCCCCCCTCCCCCCACCCCAGGGCCGAGGTTGGGGAGCACAACCCCTAAAGCCAATTGAAGTTTTTGGAGGCGTTGAGGCTGGGCGGGGGAGAAAGGCTCAGAGAGAGTAGTATTTAGGGGTGAATTGGGTTGCATCTGGACAGTGTCTGTTCCTTGCACGCTAAAGGATTTTGTTGTTCCTGTCAAGTTAAAAGAATAAAATAGATTTCCAGCTCCGGGAGATTGGAAGAATGGGGGTGGATGGTAGGAAAGTAGGAGAAAAATGATTCAACTTCGGGCCGTTGAGTATTTACTTCTCTGAAAACGTCGGCGCGGGGAGGGTGAGCATTTGATCTGTTTTGTCCACTGAGGTAGCCACAGTGCCTGGCACATAGTAGATGTATTTGTGGGGTGATTGAAGTGGCAACTGGACTGGGGCACGCCATTTATTTTATTCCACTTGAAGGCACACGGAAATCTGAAATGTACCGGGTAGGATGGCTCCACTCTATCTGGGGACAAGTTCAAGAGGTAATGACAGGGTGTGTGCAAACCGCGCCTGTACCTGGTCATTAAAGGAAGGCCCTAAATTCCCACTTGATTATTGGAGCCAGGCAGGCTGCTGTGCAGAATTTCATTCTCAAGAACCCAAAGTTTCATTATGTATGAGCTCGCCAGAGCCTCAGGAGCAGGGGGCAGCTAATCTGAGATGTCTGCCCCCTGCAGCGACCTGGCCCTGCTTCCTCCAATGGGGAAGGTTGCTCTGGGGCACAAGGTGCCCAGCTTCTGGGGAAGGCTGCCTCCTAAAATGTCCTAGCGTCTAAGGCATCCAACCTCTTGAGCTTTGCTGGGGACTGAGAGACTTGGAAATAGGTCTTTGTGGAATGATTGTGGAAGATGGATATTTGAAAGTAAAGGACCTTTTTATGAAGTAACTAACTCTGAAAGTTTAAGTAAGATCCGTAATGAATGTATGGGCCAGTATACATAAAATTGTCCTTTTGCAGGTCCATGCATACCCAGATTCAAGACCAAATTTTAAGCATATAGGGAGAACTAATTGAACTCAAAGTAATCGTTTGAATAAGAACATCAAGAACATTAAGTACTGTGAGCCCGGCCTGGCATTTATACTTAAACTGATGCCAGTTTGCTCTCCTTTTGAAATACTTTGACGCTGGATGGTCTGACTGTGGAACAGCCTGTGCTGGGGAGTTCACGCTCTGTTCATCGTGTTTGGGGAAGCCCACCCTCCCGGCCCTGCCACTGGGCTCTCGGCAGGGATTAGATTCATTATGCTCCCTAGTCCACTCGTCAGACTAAATTCAGCCAAATGGTGGATGCATTTCATTTATCTAAATACCATGGACCAGAAGTGAATCTTGCATACATTTGTAGGGATTTCCCCTTTCTAAAATCACAATCTCTTGTCCTCTTAAAGAGAGCAAGTTTAGGATGATTTGAATCTATTTTTTTTTTCTCTTCTGAAATCAAAACCCCAAATCAGTGTACTACTGTGAATTATTTCAGAGGTGAATACACTTTAATGTCAGTCAAGCCACAGTTGGATTTGATGAAGTATATATAGCTAAAAAAAAAAAAGGGCCATCAGCCAGAAGATGATGGCTGTTCCTGGACCTGCTGGCTGGGCGTATCCTTGTTTTCTAGGACCCAGCAAAACAGAGCAGGGAAAGAATCAGTGACTTGGAACTAAATTCTTTTCTGTCGGGTTGTTTTCCACACCCCACCCCACCCCTCAGCTCTATATATGAACCTGCAATTGTTCATTATGCTTATTTTTTTGTGGCCCGTTTCTGAGGATGGCCACAGAATTTACAAAGTGACTGTAGAACCAACAGAAACTGCGTGTCCAGAATGACTGGGTAGTATTTGAGGATGACATTAGGCACCATGACCGTGGTGTTTTAGGAAAAAAGTTTCACCAGTAGCATATGCCTTTTGAATTTATGTACACGGGAGAGGCTTTTTGTTTGTTTGTTTTATGGGATATTTTGAATTTACTCAAACGTTGTTCAGTGAACCCTCCTATACCTTTCCCCAAGCTCCAATAATTGTTTCATCTCTGCCTCATCCCAGCTTTGCTGCTGGCTCTGTGTGTTCTGACAGTATCAGAAGGATGAGTGTTTTAAGCAGGGTAGGAATGAGTCCATCATGCTCCGTAGGCCATTTGTCAGGTCAACTTCCCACATTATTTTGAAGCAGATCTCAGACATCACACCATTTCATCTGTAAAGAGTTCAATATGTGTGCCATTTTTAAAAGAAAATCTTAAACAGAAAGAAGAAATAAACAGAATAGAGAGACAACATAGAAGTGACCAGGCAGGTCTTAAGAAACCACCCCCCTCCACTTTTCACATGTTATTATGAAAATTTTAAATCTCAGCATATGTAGAAAGAATAGTATAATGAACCCCTTTTTACCCATCATCCAGCTTCAATAGTTAATCAACACATGGCCACTGGCTCACCCACGCCCACTCCCCCTCCTGGATAATTTTAAGGCAACTCCCTGGTATCATAATTTCAGCCATGAAATATTTCAGTATGGATTTCTAAAAGAAAGCAGCTTAATAGACAAAGAAAGGGCTTAAGAGCACATTGTAATGTACTAATATAAAGATAGCTAAACTAAGGTTTTTGTGAGAAAAACTTAAAAATTATGACTGGAGGACGGCAGGGTTTTTTTTTAATAACAGCTTTATTGAGATATAATTCACATTCCATACAACTCACCTATTTAAGGCATGCAATTCAATGATTTTTGGTGAATTCGTGGAGATGCGCAACCATTGCTACAAACAATTTTAGAAAACTGTCATCACCCCAAAAAGAAACCCTGCACTCATTAGCAGTCACCCCCCATTTTCCCCCTGACCCTTTTATCCTTAGGCAACCACTGATGAATCTACTTTCTGGGTCTATGGATTATTCTGGACATTTCATATAGATGGAATCATCCAATAGTGGTCCTTTGTGACGGGCTCTTTTCACTTAGCATAATGTTTTCAAGGTTCTCTCAGATTATGGAGTGTGATTATGGTATACTTCATTCCTTCATTGCTGAATGAGATTCCACCATATGGACATACGATGTTTTATTTATCCCTCAGAAGTTTCGTTGGCATTTGAAACCAGGTAGTTGAGTCGTCGTGCCCATTTGTCTAAGGTTACTTTGGACTCACGTAGGAACACAGTGGTAGGATATCTTCATCTCCCAAGCTCTGAATGACCGTGATGTGCCTTAGTCTGCTCTAGCAATTAAATTGGCAAATCTTCTTTCAGCTTCAGTAAAAAATTTGCATTTATATTTGATACAAAATTAAATTCAAGGAACGGATATATTCATTAAAAAGACTTTTATTAACACAGTTTAAAAATCAAGAACGTTTTTCCGTATATACCTCTGTAAGTGTTCTCACATTGAGCCTGAGATTTGGAACCTTCCTTCACTTGTCTGGACCTTGAAGGTATTTTATCTATTTTACTATGTATTTAGGAATTAACAAGTCCTATAAAGAGTATTTTTCCATACTTTACATTCATACTGTCAGCAATTTGAAGGGAGTGTTTTTAACGTACTCATTGTTTTTGAGCATTCTGTGATCATTTATTTTCTTCCCGGTATTGGTTAATGGCTCAGTCTACTATTATTCCTGAAAGGCACGAAGCTAAGAGATTAGCCACTTTTAAAAGCATCCTGAAGTTTGACCCCAGGTGGGTGGCAGGAGGAGAATCTCCAAGACCATGTTCAGGTCATTTTGTCCTCATTTTTTATTTGGGGGCACATTTAGTTACTACCACACTGCACTGGATTAATGAAAGAGTTAGAGGATTGCATTGGTTTGTGTCTCCTCCTTCAAAAAACAAAATTCCTTATTCTGATGACATATACTTGGAAGATATTTCAGGCAAATGGTAGAGAACTGGTTTTTATTAATTTTTTGTTCTTCTCTGGGAGCCTTAACATCCTTAATATTATCTGCATACATCTCTGCTTTGAGTCACTGACCTAAACTCATGGTCCCCCCTCCCTTGAGTCTGTAATTCTTTGTCAAGATTCCAGTTCCCTATAAAGAGACAGACGTTGGTGAACCTTAAGGTAAACCTTTTTCTAAAAAATTGCAGTGATGAAATATAAAAAAGAATGAGTGGTTCAAAGGAGAAACTAACTAAAAAATTCTGAAGTCTCTACCAGTTAAACAACAGTAAGTACATTTTTTCTATCATGATCACCAAATACTACTTTAATATTTATGGGCTATTTTAAATATAATTTTTGTGATGATTTTATATTGATTTTCCTTGGTCCTTTATTTTACATGGCAGCAAAGTGACATTGATAAATTCTTGAGTAAGTCATTGAGCCTCTCAGCCTCATTTACCCATCTGTAAAATGGGTGCAATGATTCTTGCCTCAGAACTGACTTTGTGAGGGTGTAATTAGAGAACATATAGGAGAACTTGCTGCTGGGCCCTAGTACCAGGCCTGGCATATAGTAGAACTTCTATCAGTGTTTTTTAAACATCAAGGCAATATTTAATCCAAGCATGAAAAGGCCATTTTTTCCTGGGACGTTCTAATAACCATCATGTGTGCATTAGAAATATCCAGGTGCCCACTTCCTCGGTCTTTTAATGAATCATGCTAGACAGATAGGGAAGCATAATACATACCAACACACATGCACACACACATTTTTTTAAATTGCCACTGTAAAATCTGTAAGGCAAGATAGATGGTTGAGAAGTTTGACTATTGTGTGCTTAATTCATAAGGTAAACATGGTACATTTACAGCTTGGCTCTTTTTATCTCTATGTTCAGATATAGCAACTTTTGGCAAACAATCCAGAACATTTTTGCCCTAATGCATGTTCATGGATAGCAAAGGAAAAATAGGGCAGTAAAATAGTAAGCTTTTGATCTTAATAATTTGATTTTTAAGTTGGGAAATTAAGGCACATTAACCATGTATGGTGGGTAACAATGATTCTTGCGTGAAGTATCTTGGAATCCTTCTTTGCAATATCTTTGAGAAAAGAAAGGTCTCTGCTTTCTCCTATAAGCTACAAGGAATGGGTTACAAGTGAGTGAAACCAAAATTATAATAAATCTCATTATAATAATACAGAGATAACTTAGTGTTAGAAAATAGGTGCTTGCCTGTTCATTCAGGGCAAGTTTCATCTTGCACTGGGTGGAAAGAATGCTGATGAAGTTGCTTTTTGCTGTTGGTATACTCTTTTAGGAAGCACAAGAGTGAAAAATATATTTAGGCTGAAGTAGTCATCCCAGCAGGTTCATCCCCTATTTCTGATTTCATGCATTCAGTTATTCACCGTCCATTCATTCATTTGTTGACTCTGGCCATAACTAACTGAGTGACCCTAGGAGCCTCGAGTACTCACAGATCCAGTGGTAATCCAGTGGGATTACCAGTGAGTGTAAAATACAATCAAACAAGTAATAGCATTGTGGTGTAATGGATACGATGGAGAGCCAGTGTAAAGGGACCTTCTTGTCCGTTCTGATGGAGCTCCAGCTACTGTTGCCACCAAGGGGGATGGAGGTATTGAATGCTCTGCCTCCTTCTCCCCTTTCTCTGACCCTTCTTGCCATTTATCAATTCCCCCCAAGTCCCAGATGAAATGTGAGCATCTATTTCGTAAGTCATGAGCTCTTAAAAATTCATCCCCAGCTACAGCTCTTCTGTTCCACATTCCAGAGGATTCTAACTCTTCAGTCTCTGCCTCACCTCTCATAGGGTTCCATAAATGTTGTAGGGTTTAATTGGGCTTGAGGAATGGAGAAATTGAGTAGAAGTAGGTATATGCCTTTGTTGCCAGGTTTAGAACTGAGGTGGATGTAACTACAACTCCCACCTGCAACTGGAATCTAATTTCTTAAAGCATCCCTGTAAAGAAAGGTGATTTACAAAAATCCTGTTGGGATTTAATGTGAGTGTGTGCTGAGTCTATAAAACAACTCAAATGGAAATTTATTACCTTTAAATATTTTGCTTTACAATCGATGAACGTGGTATATGTTGATTTGAGTCTTCATTTAATACTGCTTAATAAGGTTTATATTTTAATAAGGTTAATAAGATTTATATTTCTTCCTACTGGGTCTTAAGTATCTTTAAGGTCATATGTATTTTGAGATTATTGATATTTATTATTTGTCAAATACGTTTTGTACATATTTTTTAAATTATGGTTTAAGTTCATTGTTTATATATGCAAAATCTCCTCTCAAAAAACAATAAAGATAGGTTAGTCCCTTTATCCCAGAGACCCTTAATTTTAAATGACAACTATATCTGTCATGACCTATTAAATATATGAATATATATATGTATATATTTATCCCTCTCACCTTAGCAACCCTATTCCTGGGATTTTGTCCAACAGAAATAAAAAGCACTTGTTTTTAGGCATTATTTGGCCATGGATGGTTACCATAGCATTAATTGTGAAGGCAAAAAAATGGAAGTAGATAGACTATCAATGAACATGAAAATGACTGAATGCATTGGGGAAACCGTACAGAGGAATATTATGTAGCTATTAAACCGAAGTGAATGAGAGCCATTCCAGTGGACATGAAGAGATTCCCTTGAGGTATTTATTGAGAAAGAAAAAGAAGAGAAGGAAAGTATCTTTTATGACCCATTTTTTATAAAAGTTTACCTCTGTGCATGTGTATATGTGCATATGGACATATTTGTCTAGTAATAAGAATTTAAAGAAAAATATGTATATGTGTAAAATATGTAAACACACCAAATTGTTGATGTGGGTGAGGGTGGGGTGATGTGGCTGGTGGGGGAGGTAGAAAGTATAGATGAAGTCTCTCGCTATTTTTATGGGCATTTATGGGCTGGGCTGGGCACCTCATTTTAACAATAATATTGTTTTGGTGGGAAAAATGTGTTCCAAAAAGCTGAACCACAGGGCTCTGTATTAAGGAAGACAGGTGGTCTAAATATCAAACACTACCTGGTAATTCACATCATATTTATATTTTAGTGAAGTGGGCAGTTTGTGTTTCCCTCAAGGGCAGTCAAACGTTTCAGTTACGTTTTTCCAAAGATGGTTCATTTCCTCAGCTAAGTCCAGTAAGCAGCAGGGCGGGCAGGCAGGGAGCACACACCCATGTGGGCACACACACATACACACGTGCACACACGAAGACTGAACACGCACACACACGTGCGAGCGATCCGTGCCCACGCACAGCCTGCAGGTGGAGCCAGCGCTGGATTGAAAGGAATCCGGAGGAATCTGTATCATCACAGCAGGATAAACTTTTGAGTTAGAAGAGAGCCAGACATGGTTTCCTCCACTTACCACATCTCTAAGGAAACGAGAGTGAGGACCAGAACAGTGATCTGACTTGGCCAAGGTTGCGTAGTTACTTAGAAGCCTGGTGGGGAACCTGGACCCCAAGGTCTCATGGATTTCACGTTCCAATTTGTAAAGTAGATGCGGCCACATGCAGACACATGCCCTGCGTATCTCCAGGCGGAAATCATTCAGAATGAAGAAAGAGCCTACTGAATTTAAGATGATTGCAAGGATCTAGTGCCTGGTGGGCAGGCAGCTGATAGTCTGTTTAAACATACATGGGATACAAGGATCTGCTGCCTATCTGCCCATATGTGCTTTCTGGTTCTTGATATAAGTGGGTAGACATGTCCTCTGCTGGTTTGACATTGTGGCATGATTTACTCTCAGCCAGTAAATGGAGAACGGAGGGCATGGTAGCAGGCCTGTGAGCTTGGAATCTAAAGTAACACTAAAATCCCTATTGATTTGTAGTTGATAAACACTAATTGTGAACTGTACATTTGAGGGATTTTGGTAAAAAGTGCACATAAAGGAAAACCCTCATAACAGCATTGAGCAGATGCATGCACACTGTTTCACAAAGGAAAATGAGCTCCAGTGACATGACAACGTCCCTGAGCTGAAGAAGCACTTGGATTGTTCTTTCCCAACGGCTTAGTGAACTGGGATATCCAGAGGGCTGATGGTGATTTCCAGTTTACATTTTGGCCAAATGCTGATTCTTCTTTACCAAGGATTTTAGATTGTTGTTTATCGAAGAGTCTTTTTGCAGTGTGAGACTTTTTTCACTGTAATCCCTCCCCTCTTTGTGGAATCAAGGCTCAGGAACATTATTGGTTGCCAGTCATATGACAGGCGCCAGGTTGGGACCCGAAGATTGGGAGACAAGGTAGGAGTTCACAGTCGGTGGGCAAGGCAGAGATGCACCTCTCAAGTTATTAGGACAGAGAGTGTTTTGGGGGGAACATTGTGTAGAGGGCTTCCCAGAGTGTGCCAGGAGTGTGGGGTGGTGGGATCTGTGAAGGCTTCTCGGAGGAGGTGACTGCTAGTCAGGACCTTGCAGGATGCATAGTAGTTCTCAGGCAGCTATGAGGGGAGCTGGGAGGAGAAGACACTAGTCAAGAGAAGCACAGAGCCCTGCAGCATCTGCCAACCTAATGGGGGACAGGTGTACTGGGGAGGAAGCTAGGTGGGGGGACGGGCAGGGGTGCATAGAAACCAGGGTTGAGAAGTGGGCAGAGGAGGATCCTGAGAGACCTTGTGTACCACTTCAGGGAGTTTACTTGTCCCACAAAGGATGGGTACCCACCTTACGAAGGGAGGGATGCAGCCACGCATATGTCATATGAGGCTGTCAATGGCAACAGGTTAGGTGCCCTGGGGCAGGGAGCTTGGATCAACAATACTGATTCCTTCACTGACTGGAAGGATAGGCTACTCTCTTTGTGTTCTTTTTTTTTTTTTTTTTTTAAGATTTTATTTGTTTATCTGAGAGAGAGAGAGAGAGAGCACGAACAGGGGGAGGGGCAGAGGGACATTCAGGCTCCTCACTGAGTAGGGAGCCCGAAGTGGGGCTCGATCCCAGGACCCCGAGATCACGACCCCAGCCGAAGGCAGATGCTCAATGGACTGAGCCTCCCAGGTACCCCTCTTTGTGTGTTCTTAACTGACCTTAAGAAAAAACGTACACAGTCAATAAAAAAGTTTTGGGGGCCTTGGGGAAAGGAGAGTCCAAAGTGGTCTACCAGGGCTCATGTAATATGAGCAGGAATATTAAAAGGCTTTGAAATTTCAGGTTTTTTTTGGAAAAAAAATACTTATGAGACTAGGATTAGTTTATTGGAATTGGTCCCTCTCCTAGATTTATGATACTGTTTATCCTTCTAGGTGATACTCTCTGGAATCATAGGATTAACAACTTGGAAACGGCCTATGATACTCCTGGTATGTACTGATCTCATAAATTGTTACCCTTTGTAAAATGTGCTATGTGAGAAGTCTGTTGGAATCAACCACTGAAGAAATACTGAAGCTTTCTTCTTCATTAAAAAAAGAAGCTCACAATGGATACTGTTAGAAATCAGTAAAGCGAGATGATAATTTTGTCAGTTTTCTGATTCATTTTAAACTTCTTATGTACCCAACGTGTTTCTAGTTCCAGGATTAGATCTACTGTAAAGATGTATTTTTAAAAATCGGTTTGCTATGGACATTTTTAAATATACTAAAGCAAAGGGAATAATACAATGAATTCCCTACACCCATCACCCGGCTTCAGCAACTACCAACTCAGCCAAACTTGTTCAGCTAGACCCTCACCCATTCCTCTGCTCCCTGCATTCTTTTTCCCTGAATATTCCTTTGAAGTAAATCTTAGGTATTAAATCATGAATACATAATTTTTTATTATTATCATGCTTTGGTTGGACAACCTCAGAGTTTCATGACTTAGGCTCTCTATATTCTCTCTTTATCACACATCTATCATATTTTCATGGTAATAAAGACATATTGGTAACTTTATCCTTTTCTTTTTTTTAGTTTTTGAGGTAAACTACACATAATTATAAAGTTAACCTGTTTTGAAGTTCACAATTCAATGACATTTAGTAACATTCCCAATATTTTTTTTGTTTTGATTTGCTATGTCCTTTTATTTGCTACTATAAAAAATAGACAATTGCCAGTGGAATTGCCAGCTTTCAAGGATGAAGTAGAAGGTCTGACAAATGTGGTTTGAAGTACATATAATGGAAAAAATTTTTTTCTATATAACGTCTCTTCTGATTTTTCTCCCATCCATTTTGAAATAGGGTTAAATAGGGCGCCTGGGTGGCTCAGTTGGTTAAGCGACTGCCTTGGGCTCAGGTCATGATCCTGGAGTCCTGGGATTGAGCTCCACATTGGGCTCCCTGCTCAGCAGGGGGTCTGCTTCTCCCTCTGACCCTCCCCCGTCTCATGCTCTCTCTCTATCTCATTCTCTCTCTCAAATAAATAAATAAAATTTTTTTTAAAAAAAGAAATAGGGTTAAATAATTTTCTAAAACCATTTTGTGTATATACTTAAGAGTTCATCTTAAACAGACCACTGTTTGCTGGGTGGTGGGTAATAAATACAAAACTAGCTAAATTCTTAAATGCCCACAAGACAATTTAGGCAACATTTTAGAAGTCCATCATTTATGGCATTTGGTGAAACTCTGTTAATATTTCTGGCAGGAGTAAATTATTGGTGCAGCATTTTAATCTACAAGATAGCAGGGTAGGAGAAAATGAGGCTTCAGATGAGTTTTATGGAATGTGTTATGAGTGGCTGAGGTCTGTTTTGCAACAATTCTCTAGAAAAATGTTGGATGGTGTCCAATGTTTATACTAATATTTGGCTATAGGAGTCATTTTTGTCCTGATTTTTCCATTGGGTCAATATTGAAATGCTCAGTAATACAAACCTCAGGTATTTAAATTAAAATCAGAAAATCCCTAAAGCTATTTGTACTTTTAAGATTCCAAATGGTGAGAAGAATATGAGCGTGTGTTCTGGGTAGAGGTTTAGAAGGTGGACCTTTTAAGACATTTATTTCTCTAACATTGTTTTCTTTTGGAAAGGTGCCTCATAGATTTATTATGTGAGCTCAAACAACTATAAATGAAAATGACCTTAATAGAGATGTATCTTTATTATTATGCCTTTAGATTTATTTCTCATCTTTGTTGATAAGTACAGGTACAACTTTGTCAAAGTTATAACCAGTTTGTATGTACCATGTTGTGCTCTGCTTTTTCTGCTTAATATTACATTAATTACATCCATATCAGTAAATATTACGTTTCCATATACAAGGAGTCCACATCCCTGCCTGAATGGCATTCTGTCATAGTTCTGTATTACCATCAGTTATAAGCCTGTTAGACACATGGGCTTCTACATTTCAACTGTTAAGAATTACGTATTTAGAAGTATTTAGAATCAAGAAGTATTTAGAATCAAGTAGAGATTGTTTTGAAATGTTAATTAACATCGACTTATAAAGAAGATAAATTAGTTGATAGGAATTATACAAGGGCAAACTTCCCGGGTATATCAGTAGATCATTCGAACCTTATTCAACTTCATAAGTGAAAAATCCTCAGTTCATGTGAATCTTAATAATATTCTGTTATAACTTGTGCCATGTGCCTTTGTTATGTTAAAAAATAAAAATAAAATCATGTGATGTTATGAAAGAAACTGGATATGCCAGTCAGACACTCCTGATCTGAGTACCAGCTCATCCCCTTTAGAGCTGTGTAATGTACAAGCCACTTGACTTTCCTGAGTGTAGTTTTCTTTTCTGAACGGAGGGGATAATCTAGTGACACCAAGGGGTAGGTCTGACTGCCCCTAATCCTCCCCATGATGGCTGCTTCACTTTTTCTTTGGCTTCCCCCAGACCCCTTCCTGAGTTTAGGGAATGTGCCTTTGGATGATTCTGGGTGGGAGGTCACATTTCATCAGAGAGCCAGGAGGCCCTGTGGGTCTGTGTTCCCGCAGACGGGGGCTTGGCTGGTGAGTTCCAGCCTTTCTCCCCTTCATGTCCTATACTCTACCCAGAGGGGCACCTTCTGACTGGGACACAGCCAGGCTGTCTTAACCAACTTGGGACCGTCTTCCCCTAGCTCTTTCCTTGGCTGGCTCCTTTTCTTCTGGGCCTCAGCTCAGCAGTTGCTTCCTGAAGGAGACCTTCCCTGACCATCCAGTGATAGTGGCCCAGCATCCCTGCCTCTCAACATGTCCCAGCACTGACTTTTGGCTTCACAGTCTGTAATTAGCTTGTGTGCCGTTTGTATACTACTTGCTTGTCTGTATCCCCACCGTAGATAGTTGTATGAAGAAAGGGGTCTTGTCCGTCTTCTTCACCCTGGGTCCCCAGGAACAGTGTGCTCGATACACATCCGTTGTTGACTGTGAAGTTGATTTGGCAGCCAACGAGAAATTTAGGTCCTAGGTTCTCGATGTTTCTTTTTTACTTCTGTCTTAAATTTCTCTCACTTGTTTTTGTCCTCTAGAGTGTTGTTTTCTTCCGCTTTTTACTTCGGAGTGGTTAGGGAGTGTATGGGTAGTAGAGGTTGGGAGGAGGCAGGTTGGTCTTTCCAGGGCCCTTTGAGAGGCAAGCTGTCCTCATTTTGAGTTGTTGGGTGCACAGTCATCTAGAACACTTGACTACTTCCTTTTGAAAACTGTTTATATTTGTGCTCCTTCTTTTGTGATTGTTTCAGTGATTACATTCGGTTTTATACTGGTGTGAACAAAGAAGGCTCATTCTGACCCAATTCCTTCAAATTCAAGTTTTCATGGAAACTCGGAGTTGGAAGTGTTCATTTACCGAGTCTTCTTCCTTATACCGATTAAATACTCATGTGTCCAGAACAAAAATAATAATCTTGGAACATCATTTATAAACATTTATAGCTATTTTTGACTATGACTAGGATCAAGCTAGGGCATGTGCACACACACATGATTTCAGGTTGTGTGTTTTCTATCAAAAACAAACATTTTTCATTTTTAAAGAGTGTTCTTATTTCTTCAAGGTATCTCCTTTTTCATTCTAATAAAATGGTTTATAAGTTTTTAGCAATTACAGACTCTGTGCTGGGAGTGACCTCAAAGATTATCCTGTCTTGTCTCGGCACTTCAGTTAAAAAGTGGAATAGTCTTAATAAGATGTTTTTCTTTGGTGGTCCATTTGGTAAGAATTCCCACCGTGAAAGCCTAGCCAGACTTGCGGCCTATAATTTTGGTTATGAAGAGGTCATTTGGACTACTTTTCTTGTCAGTTTGGAAGAGATGGGGTGAATATAACCTTAAAGCTGATAAAGAGATCACTTTATTCTTTAACATCAAGAATGAAGGTATTTCCTCAGTGATGTTCTTGGGTCACATATGTGGTTTGTTCTCAACTGTGGGCCATGGGGATTTGCACCCTAGACTGAGAATAGAAGAGGTAAATGAACAGGATACTTAAAAAAAATGATCCATCAGTTTCTCTTCTAACTTCAAGATTATGGAATTTAGGGTAAAACTTCATTACCCAAAAAGAGACTAAAAAATGGTTTCGGTAAGATATACAGACATTCTGTCCTCTTGTCTAACTGTCCAGACAAGCTAGGCCAGCAAAGATGGTTCTGCTCCACAAAGCCATTTGGGGATCCGGGGTCTTTCCATCTTATTGTGCCTTGAAGGGAGAGTCATGGATCACCCAGACACTGTCAAGAGATTGAGGAATTAGCCCACCAGATAGTCAGAAATAGTTGTAGGTGGCTTAGCTGCAAGAGAGATGGTGGCGCTTTCATTTCTGAGGGGTCAGAAGATCTGCAGGCAGTTTAGGGATCTGTACGTTTATAAAATGAGGTCTGCAGCTCTGGCTTTGTGCATTCTGGTTCTTTCAAGTATATTTCCTGGTTGTCAAAAATTTGGAATGAGCCTTGGTTTGAGAGTTCAAGAAACCTGCATTTTAATGCTGACACATTACCACTAGTTATTGGTGACCTTGGGGAAGTCTCTTGGGTTCTGCATCTGTAAAATGATGAACTTACATCAGAGCAATCTTTTAAGAGTCCTTTAGCTCTCATTGTGTAGGTTTCCAGAATCCTTGTTAGTGACCCGGAGGGTGTTTTAACTTTAGATGGTTGTTTTCAACAGGCTATTAAAAGCTCCCTGTGTATAAATACTATGATTATTTCACTCTTGGTTTTTTTAAGGTATAAAAATAGATGGCTGTTCTCCCTCTTCAGAATAATTAATAATACTCTATTGCACGCATATAATGCTTAAGAGTTTATATCTTTAGTCATGTGGTTTATATGGCAGGTGTTTTTCCTGTTTTATAGATAAGGGGCCAGTGGCTCAGGAGTGAACCAGCTTGTCCAGTTCACAAACACATGAACTATTATTAGAAAGAACC